AACGCGCGCGCGCGGAACACTCACGTTGAAGCGACGTTGAATCTCTCTTGTCCTGCCCAGGCGTGCATCCTCGACGTCGAGGACGACGACGCGGAGTGGACGTCCTTCGACTTTTGTGGTGGGCACGGCCGCTGCCTCGGCAGTGACTGCTCGGGCTAGCACCAGCGTCCTGCGGCCGTGACGATTTTCGAGAGATGTGGGGTGGGGAAACGATGAGACATCGCCACCGTCGTGCTCGGTAGGCTACCACTACCACTTCCCGCCGACGTGCCTCGAGGACCAGATCGGGGCCATGGCCGACGGCCACTCGCCGCAGGTCGGCTGGTCCTTCGACGGCTTCCCCGTCTACGGGCCCTTCGGCCCGGGCGGCGTCGCGATCGCGAACTGCGGCGCGGACGGCGCCGACGCGACGTACTGCCAGGACGAGTGCGGCGGCTACGCGGGCGAGCTCTCCGGCGTCGACGACTTCACGTACCGCTACTACTTCTCCGGGCCCCTGTCGGATTTGTACAGCCTCCCGACGGACCCGCGGCCCGCGACGACGGACTATCCGTTCGCGATGGCCTGCTACAAGGGTCTCGCGCGGCGTCCCGCGTACTCCGAGAGGCTTGTGTGGGCGGAGGAGCGACGCACGCAGGCTGCACGCTCGCGGACATGGAGGCCGGCGAGTCCAAGTGCAGCGGCGGCGGCGACGGCTACACGTCCTCCTACTCGCCGTCGGTCACGGCCGGCGTGCTCGACGTCTACGCGTCCGCGCCGGCGTCGGCCGCGGGCATGCAGTGCTCGTCCAGCGACGACACCACCGCGACCGACGACACCAGCGGCTCCGACGACACCACCGCGACCGACGACACCGGCGGATCCGACGACGCCGGCGGATCCGACGACACCGGCGGCCCCGGCTCCGACGACAACAGCGGCTCCGACGACAACAGCGGTCCCGGCTCCGACGACGGCGGCTCCGACGACGCAGCGAGGAGGGTGTCGACGCCGCCACCGTCGCCACCGTCGGCACCGCGGGCTTTGCCCTCCTCGCCGCGCTCTTCTTCTAGACTCCAGGAGCGACGCGACTACGCCCCACAAGCTTTTTATAATATGTCTGTACGAGCGAAGGCATTTAACCGAGGGTGAGCGGGACGAGGGACGAGGACGAGCTCGAGTCGGAGAGGGAGCCGTCGTGCTCCGGCCGCGGCGCGGCGCCCGGCGGGTCCGGCCGGCGGGCCTTCTTCACGTCCACCGCGTCGCCGACGAAGCGGGCCAGGAGCGGCTCCTCGCGCGGGGGCACGGCGGCGTCCTCGACGTCCGCGGCCGGCGCCGCGAAGGTGCCGTAGCGCGGCGCGGCGGCCGCGGGCCCGAGCCCGACGAGCCACGCCTGGGCTTTGGCGTCGACGCGCGCCGTGAAGGCCAGCGCGAGGCCCCACAACAGGAGCAGGAACAGGAAGAACGCCGGCGCGTCGGCGCTGCCCGCGCCGTCGAAGCCCAGGAGCTCGAGCGTCTTCATGAGCGGGGCTTGGAACGCGTAGGCCGCGTACGCCGCCGGCGCCAGCGCCTGCAGCGCCGGGTGCTCGAGCGCGCGGAAGAGGCCCGCGCGGCCGTCGTCGGCGACGGCGAGGGCGCAGAGGGCGCAGAAGACGAACGTCAGGGGCGTGGACCGCGTGCGCTCCATCGGCGAGCCGTCGGGCGAGACGTAGACGACGGCCGGGACCGCGGCCGCGCAGGCGTAGGCGAGGAGCGTCGTCGGGAGGACGCTCAGGTCGACGGCCTCGCAGAGCCGGAAGGTCAGCGCCCCGGCGACGAAGGAGCACGCGTTGACGAGCGGAAAGACGTAGGCCGACCCCGGGACCCACCGCCGCGCGCACTCCCAGACGCCGTCCTCGTCGACGGCGTGCCGCGGAATATCATCGAGCTTGAGCGTCATGGCGTTGTCGCCGGCCTCGCCCGCGCAGGGGAGGCGGACGCACGCGGCGACGATCGCCGGCGAGGCCCGCAGGAGGCAGCAGACGGCGACGGAGGCGGCGAGCTTCCCCGGCGTCCTCGGGCAGCGCGCCGCGAGGAACGCGTAGACCGCGTAGCACCCGACGAGCGCCGACGCGAACCAGAGCGTGTAGTCGACGGCGTAGGGCACGAAGACGACGCCGTGCGGGTCCGGCTTCCACTTGTGGCCGTGGTACGGGTGCGCGGACGAGTCGCGCTCGAAGACCGGCCACCAGCTCTGGAGCATGAGCAGGGTCAGGGGAAAGCCGGAGCCGTGGAGCGTCCGCAGGTCCACGCTGTCGTACTTGGAGGCGTCGGACTGGTACCGGCCGTAGTTCTTCACCTTGACGTCGTGCAGAAACAGCGCCAACACCCACCAGGCGAGCGACACGTAGTAGCAGGGCGCGAGGCGCGCGATGCCGCGCCAGAGGAACGTGAGGCGCTCGCGGCCCGCGGCGACGCTCCGGCCGCCTTTGCCCATCGCGGCGACGAACCCCGATAAAACGAAGAAGCAGTCGCACGCGATCCACGCGCGCCGCTGCACGCGGTCGACGGTCCAGGTCAGCGGGGCGAGAAAGGTCGGCCAGGGCTTGGCCGTCGTGCCCGTGGGCTCCCAGTGGAAGGAGATGACCCAGAAGATGAGCAGCGGCCGCAGCCCGTCGAGGCAGGCGACGCGCAGTTTGGTGGGGCTGTCGGCTTTCAGGGGCTCCTTCATTGCTGGTGTGTGTGGCGCGTCTGACGTGGCGGCGCGGCGCGGGAGGTTGCCGTTCGCGCGCGGTGGCAGCGGGCCGCGTCGCACGACGGGAAGGCTGCCCTGCCCTCACCTCGTGTTTCTAGAAGGCGTGACGCCACAGGAGGGCAGCATCGGCTACTTCCCCATTCGTCCTACCCCGCCCAAATTCTGCGTCAGCGGGGATACGAGGCCCTCAAAAACTGAGAGCTGGCCACCGCATCGACCTGCGCGTTCGACGTCTCAACCCCAACAGCTCACCCGTGCCGCGCCGAGTCCAGCCCTCTCTCCCCACACCCCGCGCGGTCGCCGCCGCGCGCGCCGCACCTCGTCGAGCCCCGCCGCGTCGCGCCACGCTCTCTCGGGGCAAGAAAACCGAACGCCACCTCCGCGCAGGCACGCACACCGACCATGAAGCTCTCCCTCAAGGCCGTGGCCGCCTCGGCGCTCATCGCGTCGACGGAGGTGCACGCCTTCCTCGCCAAGGCGCCCGCGGCGCCGTTCCGGGCGGCCCCGCGCGCGTCCGCTCGCGCGTCGACGAAGATGGCCATGTCGAGCCGCCGCGCGGCCGCGGCCTCGGCCCTCGGCGGCCTCGTGGCCGTCACCGCCAACGCCCAGTCGGCCTTCGGCGCCGACGCGGCCCGCTGGGCCGTTTCCGAGTTCCTCGACATTGTGGGCAAGGACGGCGTCGAGCGCGTCGTCTTCTCGGCCGACTCCAAGGAGCTCCTCGCGCTCGACTCCGACGGCGCGCGCCACGCCGTCGAGATCCTCCCTTCCGAGGTGCCCGAGCTCGTCAAGCAGCTCCGGGCCAAGAACGTGCCCTTCGCGGTGCAGGCCGCCGCGTCGGAGGACGGCAACGCGCTCGCGGGCCTCGCGGCGAACTTGCTCTTCCCCCTCGTGCTCCTCGGCGGCCTCTTCTTCATCGGCCGCCGCAACGGCGGCGGCCAGGGCGGCGGCATGGGCGGCATGGGCGGGCCCGGCGGCCCCATGGGCATGCTCCAGCCCAAGTCGAAGATCGAGATGGAGCCGAAGACGGGCGTCACCTTCGACGACGTCGCGGGCTGCGACGCGTCCAAGCTCGAGCTCGAGGAGGTCGTCGACTTCCTCTCCAACCCCGAGAAGTTCACCAAGGTCGGCGCGCAGTCGCCCCGCGGCGTCCTCCTCGAGGGCCCGCCCGGCACGGGCAAGACGCTCCTCGCGCGCGCCGTCGCGGGCGAGGCCGGCGTGCCCTTCATCTCCGCGTCGGGCTCCGAGTTCGTCGAGATGTTCGTCGGCGTCGGCGCGTCCCGCATCCGCTCCCTCTTCGCGGACGCGAAGAAGAACGCGCCCTGCATCATCTTCATCGACGAGATCGACGCCATCGGCCGCCAGCGGTCCTCCGGCGGCGGCTTCGCGTCCAACGACGAGCGCGAGCAGACCCTGAACCAGATCCTCACGGAGATGGACGGCTTCAGTGGCAACACGGGCGTCATCGTCATCGCCGCGACGAACCGCGGCGACATCCTCGACAACGCCTTGCTCCGCCCCGGCCGCTTCGACCGCCGCGTGCCCGTGGACCTCCCGGACAAGGCCGGCCGCGTCGAGATCCTCAAGGTCCACTGCCGCGACAAGCCCCTCGCGCCCGAGGTCGACCTCGACGCGATCGCGTCGCGCGCCATCGGCTTCTCGGGCGCGTCGCTCCAGAACCTCATGAACGAGGCGGCCATCGTCGCCGCGCGCCGCGGCAAGGACATCATCTCCTTCGACGAGATCGACTTCGCCATCGACCGCCTCACCGTGGGCATGCAGAAGCAGTCGACGTCCGCGAACCAGTCGCGCGACTCCGCGGACAAGCGCCAGAGCCTCGTCGCGTGGCACGAGGCGGGCCACGCCGTCATGGCCGCGCTGACGCCGGGCTACGACGCCGTCACGAAGGTGACCATCATCCCCCGGACGAACGGCGCGGGCGGCTTCACGCTCTTCACGCCGAACGAGGACCGCATGGAGAGCGGCCTCTACTCCTACAAGTACCTCAAGGCCCAGCTCGCCGTCGCCCTCGGCGGCCGCGTCGCCGAGGAGCTCGCCTTCGGCAAGGAGGAGGTGACGACGGGCGCGTCGAACGACCTCCAGCAGGTCCGGTCCATCGCGCGGCGCATGATCGCGCTCCGCGCGAACCCGCGCAACGTCGGCGAGGGCGGCAGCGACGTCCTCCGCGCGCCCGTCGCCTGGGAGACGGCCGAGCCCGCCCAGATGGGCCAGGCCGCGACCGCGTCCGGCGAGACGGAGCGCCTCATCGACGTCGAGACGAAGATGCTCGTCCAGGAGGCCTACGACACGTGCTACAAGACGCTCACGGACAACATGTCCCTCATGCAGACGGTGGTCGACGAGCTCGTCGAGAACGAGACCGTCGACGCGCCCACGTTCCAGAAGCTCGTCCTCCAGAACAGCCTCGACCCCAAGCAGGCCGTCGCCGCGCTCTAGGGAGCTCGCACATATCCCCCCTTCCCGGACGCCGAAAAGAAAAAAAACATACACCGCCTTCCATTGTGTAACTCCATCGCTGATGAACCAAACTACCCGTGATTATCCACGACGAGCCGCGCCGCGCCGTCGCGGCTCACGTCCACCGCGTCGACGTCGACGCGGAGGTAGTTCGCGAGGCGCTCCAGCGCGAAGGCCTCCCGCGCCTCGAGCAGCGTGAGGACCGCGCCCGCGCGGCCGAGGCGCGCCGCGCGGCCCGCGCGGTGCAGGTAGGCCGTCGCGTCGCCGGGAAAGTCGAACTGGACCACCAGGGTCGTCCGCGGCGCGTCCAAGCCCCGCGCCGCGAGGTCCGTGCAGAGCAGCACGTCGACGTCGCCCGCCGTGTACGCGTCGACCTCGCGTTTTCGGCTGCTCAGGTCGTCGCGGCCGTCGAGGACCGCGCACGCGACGCCGTCGGCCTGTTCGAGTTTGTCGGCGATGGCCTGCAGGGGCCGGCGCTCGTCGAAGAAGACGATGGCCGCGAATCGAGTCGAGGAACGCTTGACGTCGCGGAGCATCTTCCTCAAAACCGCGAGTTTCGCGCCCTTGTCGGGCACGACCGCGGAGAAGTGCGATAGCGACCCCGGCGTCGCCTCGGCGGCGCCGACGCGCACGTAGCTCGGCGCCTTCTTCGACCAGCGCATGGAGGCCAATCGTTCCGCGAGGTGGCGCGGCTGTTCCAAGGACGCCGTCGCGAAGACCGTCTGGCGGGTCTCGCGAAACTCCCGGTTCGCGCCCGCGCCGTCGGCGCCGTTCTCCAGGTCGCCGACGAGGAAGGCGTGGAGCGCCGCGCGGTCGTCGCTCCTCGCCGGGTCGAGGAAGGCGTCGACCTCGTCGACGACGACGTAGCGGACCGCGTCCGCGCAGCGCAACCCGCCGTTCGCGGCCATGCCGTGGACGGACTTGGCGTTGCCGACGACGACGTGGGGCGGCTCGGCCCAGGCCCAGGCGCGCTGGCGCCGGTGGCTCGACCCGTCGAGCAGCGACATGACCATGACGGGCTTGCCGTCGGGCGCCGCCGGGAGCGCCGACGCGAGGCGCCGCGCGACGCGCGCGACCTGGAGCCCCAGCTCCCGCGTCGGCACGATGACCACGGCCTGCGTCGTCTGCCGCGACGCGTCGACGCGCGCGAAGAGCGGCGCCAGGTAGGCCAGCGTCTTGCCCGACCCCGTCTGCGCGTGGATGAGGCAGTCGTGGCCGTCGAGGGCGACGGGGATCGTCTCCGCTTGTACGGCCGTCGGCGTCGCGTAGTCGTCGGTGGACGTGAGGGCCTGGACGATGGGCGGCGGGAGGTTCAAAGACTGCCAGGTCGGCTGCAGGGCCGCGGCGCCGCAGAGGAGCGCGGCGAAGATGGCGAACATGCCTCGCCTCTTTCTTCAACGTTCGAGCGCCGAACTTCAACGTGGCGCATACCGCCATCACCGTCCCCATCCGTCGCCGCGGGACACCTCGCGGGCTCCCTCGGGGCGTAGCGTCCCTCGCGCCCCGAGCGACCGTGCAGCATGGTGTGCGCTTATTCTGGCGTCCAACCTGGCCGTGAGGTCGTTCCCGAAGTCAAACCCTGCTCTCTCGCCGCCTGAGTCCGTTGGGAGGGCTGCTGGTACGCGTAGCCAGCCAAAAACAGCGCTGGCGTGCGCCATAAAGCGAACCAGAAAGTATTCGTGAACCTCAACAATCCAAGAATTCCCCGGCGGTACGTGTGGATCGGGCCAACCTGAGTTGTCGCCGCCTCCACCCGACCGCCGGCTGCGTAGTTGCGGTCGGTCGAAACGATGGGCGGGAGCACGGAGCGGCGCCAGGCCCGGCCTCGGGCAGCCTCCCAGAAACCCCCGGAGCCCTCGGGGGACGACGCCGCGGCGGGGGAGTCGTCGGACGGCGCCGCCCGGCGGCGCGCTCCGTTGAAGCGCCCGGCCCGCCCGTTCGTGTCGTCGGGCTCGGACGCCGCGGCGCAGAGCCTGGGCGCGAACGGCGGGACGTGCCTCGACGAGCTCCAGTCCCTCGGCGCCGCGAAGATCAGCCGCCTCATGGCCTACGGCATCGACACCGTCGAGGCGCTCGCCAAGGTCGACGTCAAGGACTACCCGATGGTGAGCCTCATCACGGGGAACAAGCGGCCGGACCGCGCGAGCACGACCATCGCCAAGTGGCGCGACATCGCCCAGACCTTCCTCGCGCGGCGCTCGAGCGGCCACGTCGCGCCGTCGTCGAAGAAGCGGAGCAAGACGCGGCACCGGTCGCGCGCGCCCGCGCGCGCGCCCCCGCCGGCGCAGCCCGCGGCGACCGCCGCCGCCTACGAGTTCCCGGCGCCCTTCGACGCCGACGACGAGCTCGCCGCCACGGACGCGCTCCTGCCGCCGGACGCGGAGTGGACGGCGCCGTTCGCCAACTTCTCCTCCGAGGTCGGCCGCGGGTCCTTCGCGGTCGGCGCGGCCGAGGAGGAGACGCCCTTCGCGCGCGAGAACTCGGGCAGCGACGGCGAGGGCAAGTCCGACGACACCTTCGAGTCCTCGGTCTTCGAGGACCCGGCGCCCGGCGAGAACGCGGCGCTCGCGCGCGGCGGCGGCGGCGACGACGACCTCGCCGTCGACTCGTTCTGGGCGCCCTTCAACGGCGAGGTCGACGTCGCCGTCGACGCCTTCGACTTCGCGGGGGGCGAGCTCCCCAGCGCCGGCGAGCCCTTCGTCGCCGTCCAGCAATGAGCAGCCTCCGCCCGCGAGCCCCGATGTCCACACCGTCCCGGGGCGACCCCTCTGTCGAGAGAGCAGCCGCCTGTGCGACCGCGCCGCTCTCCCTCCTCCCCCACGCGCCGCTCACCCAATAATTGACGCGCGCCCTTACCCGGACGCGAGGCCGAGGGGTGAGGACACTGGCAACGTCGACTCGGACGT